GTTTCCTCAAACCTGGGGCTGCTGGCAAGTTGCCATGCCAGCCTGCTCACAGGCACAGGGAGTGGTGGTATTAGGGCTTCAGCATTAATGCAATGTATGTGGCAGAAAGAGTGAGGCACCATCACTGCATCCTTTTACAGTAACAATGCTGTCCCAAAGCCTCTGAGACCTACTGGGCTGTTGCAGAAAAGATGCTGTGAGGGGCGAGAGATAAGCCAGGACCTGGGCTGTGGGTGAAGCAGGTGGTGCCGGACTCATGAGCAGGCTACAGTCACCCACAGAACCAGCTAGCACCGCTCTGACACCAAATCCCTTTCCCAATGCGTGGAGGCTTCATGCAGTGGTTGCAAAACGACCAGTACTAGCCCTCCCCCCTGCCATGGCATGAAGCCATCGTGCCATTCGTTCAATGCACTGGTTTAGGGTTCCCACCCCCCTGGCCTGGCCAAGCAAGTGGGTTTTCAGGAAACAGTTTGGATGTGAGTGGCCTTAAGCAAAAGTGTAGGCCCTGCCAACTGGTGGGCAGGGGGAGGGATGGACATGCGCACCTTCCATGCTGCTGCAGCAGGGGGGTGGGGGGCATGCTCCAGGCCCCCCTCTCACACCTCTAGCCTGTGGCAGCAGGCAGGTGTAGCAGGGCCTGAGAGTGGGACTAGGGAAGCTGTACGGGGAGAAGCCAGCAACTGGAGCACTTTGGGAAGGTTGGGGAAGGGGGTGGGCTGCCTGCATCACATGTGCAGGGCAGTGGAAGGGTGCCTGGCTCTCGCTCTGGTGTGGCCCGCATGCCATGCACCCCCCCTCATCCTTCTGCAATCTCTGGTGTGCCCCCCACCACATGGGTAGCGTATGGCAGTTGTGCCTTACCCAAGCTGCTCAGCAATTCAACAGCACAGTCTGCAAGCAGCTGTAGGGGGGAGGGCTCATCACAGGGTCCAGCCACATGCAGTATGACTGTCTCAGTGGAGTAAACACCTGGCACTTGCTGCTGGGCCTTCAGCCCTTTCTCTCAGTGCCACACACTGACCCAGCAGTGGTAAGGGCATGATGCAGCTGGCAGGGCTTGAGGAAAAGTGAAGGTTTCAGTTTGCGTCACAGATGCAAACAGTGCGCTGGCACTGAGGCAGCTCCTACATTGGCCTGAGCATGTCAGCTGCTGTGGGGTGGGAGGGGGTGGGCTGTGTCTTCAGGGCTTGGTGGCTGCATAAAGGGATCAGGTGTCACAACACCTGAGCCCTGTGATGAAACCCAAAGCTGGGGTTCCAGTAGCAGGGCAGGGAGCCGAGGAACCAGAATCACAGAGAAGAGGGGCTAGCAGGGACCTGCAGAGATCACACCTAGTCCAATCCCTGCCTTAGGCAGGACCACCCTTGTCCAAACCATTCCAGACAATCCATCATCTCAACACTACATGACACCGTCAGCCCTGACACAACACAGACCGAAAACCATGACCTGCTGCAGGTAAAGCAGAGGACCATGGCAGCCACTGTCCTGCTTCTGTGAAACGCTGTCAATATACATGCAGGAGACCCAAGGCAGAGGGCCATGCCATGTGCTAACTGAGGAAGGCACACCCCCCCACTGGCCATACCATTCTGACCATGGGGTAACATTCCTTCCTGGCCCCAAAGATGTCTGACTGAGCGGAGGGGCAAGGCCCTCTCGCCAGGAACCTCCGGCTTTGGTCCCAGCAGGAGCACTGGCACAGCCCCATGCCCAGCCTGGGTTGCAGCCAGCACCCAGTGCCTCTGAGGGAGTCTTAAAAACACCCTGATGCATATAGCAGAAAGCCAGGGTAGGGGCCAGGGTAAGGGCAACCAGCAAGCCCACAAGCATGGGAAATACCCATAATAGAACAAGCACTGCTATGCCTAAATCATTCCTGAACAGTGGTTGTTTAACCACCTCCTGAAGATCTCCAGTAATGGAGAGTCCACACCTTCCCTGGCATCTGTGCCACTACCTGACCGTGCTAACAGCAAATAATTTTTTCTAGCTATCCAATCTAAATTTACGTCGCTGCAACTTCAAGCCATTGGTCCATGTCCTCCTCTCTGCAGCAAAAGAGAAAAAGTGCTTTCCCTCTTCCCTATGGCAGACCTGCAAGTATTTGAAGACTGCTGGTATATGTCCCATCTTAAGCGCCTTTTCTGCAAGCTAAATATACCCAGCTCCGCCAGCCTCTCCTATGCACATCCAGTATGGAAATGATCAGTTCATGCCCAGAAACTAGACCCAGTTCTAAACGGCAGCTGTCGGGAAGGATGTCTAAAGCCAACACCAATGATAGCCTGTACTTACTGGCCGGCATTGCACCACCTGATATCAGAAAGGCAGCAAGTCAGAAAGAAAGATCACAGCAGATGGAAGACCCCAAGCATCCACTCTATGGTCACACACAGAAGACCAGGGCTGCGCTGTTGGGGGCTGACAGAGTGACTAAGGTTATGGAAGGAAAGACTGTACATCAGATGCTCTAAAATGGACCTGGAACCCCAGGAGAGCCTTCCCCAAAGCGCTGATCTAGACAGGCAAACATGGCGATGCCCAAAACACTGCACATGCAAACGGGAAGATAAAAAACAAGTATGACCAAATGGGGCTACTCTAACAACACAAATATGTGAGTATGGTGAAGTGCAGACTACAAAGAAGCTGCTCGTTTGCCAACTCCTTGGTGAGATCTGTACAAAGGGCGTCCCCGCTGCAGCAACAGAAAGAGCCAAGGCTGGTCATAAACGAGAGGTTTTTCCAGAATCATGCACAAGGACATGAGAAGCAGCAATCTCCTTATATGACTTGCCTTCCAACCCTTGAGCATCTTTGTTACTGCCTCTGGACCCTCTCTAACTTCTTCACATTGTTTTCAAAATGTGGAGCCCAGAACTGCACCCAGTGTCCAGATGAGCCCTGACCATGATCACCTCCCAGTCTTGCCCCTCATGCTTCTGTTAATGCAGCCCAGAATCACATTCACCTTCTGTGCAGCTGCATCACACTGCAGACTTGTATTGAGTCTGATCTACCAAGACACCTAAGATCTTTTCCATAGAGCTGCCATCCAGCCAGGTGCACCCACTTTATAGTTGGATTTTTGATTATTCCTCTTGCAGCACAACACCTTGCACTTGTCTACATTGGACTGCATCCTGTTAGTTCCAGGCCAGCTTTCCAGTCTGTCATGATCCTTCTGAAATGCACTCACATCCTCCAACGTGTTCACAGTCCTTTCCAGTTTCACATCATCTACAAGCTTGCTCAAGAAGCTTTCTGTGCCTGCATCCAAATTGTTATGTCCTGCCTGGTAATTACATAAAGGGGCCACTAACTCCATTTCTTCACAACCATTAGCTGTGAATCAGCAAGCTGTTATGCCATAGGTACACACCAAGCCATTTGCCACTTGTCCTGGGCACACCTGTACCTGCTTTCACTGAGGCTAGCTTTCACCCCAAGGTAACACCTTAATTATCACTTTTGCCTTTGGTCAAAACAGTGCGTGAGGACACAGCAAGCCTTGGCCTCATCTTGCCTTTGGCACACCGATGACTGAGGTCAACCACTCTCTTCTCTCCAGTCCTCCCTACAGCCACTGAACCCCGAGTACTGCATTTTTCTATTCATTCAAGGCTGATCTAACCAGAAGTTGCAGAACACTGAACTGAAGTCACAGCAGGCAGCTGGTGGCCCCTTAACTCTTACACCAGAGAGTACCTGGACCAAGTCTGAGAACAGAAATAAATGGTCCATCCATAATGAGTGCCCACTCCTCCTTCCCCAGTCACTTTTTTTTGCACTGTCAAAGGATGGTGCACCCCATGTCCCGCTAAGCCAGCCACAGCCAGATGGAGGGACAAACTACAGGAAATGAGACAGCAGCATGGCCCCACATCACTCCGGTAGTCTCACCCTCCGCTTTGCAGGGGGCATGGACCAGTAGGAACCTTTCCCAGAAGGGGTCGTGGTCCTAGAGCTCCCTGGGCAGAGCTGGCTCCTGCCATCCCTAGGAACAGCTACGCTGCCATTCTTCTTGGGACTTCCCACACTACTTGTCTGACATCAAACACCGGCTGCAGGGGCCTCTGCTCACCTTGACATGGAACATACAAGGCACTGCTAGTTGGCTGCAGCTGTCCAGAGGATAGAGAAGCCTGGATGGGGACAGTAGTGTTGAGGTGCTAGAGAGGGTGCAGGAAGCCCCAGGACCAGCACAGTCCATAGGCACAGGCTAGGGCAAGAGAGGATCGAGCCACCCTCTCCCTCACTCACTGAAGCCTCTGCTCCAAAGACCATGAGCAAAGGGAGCAAGCTGTGCAGCAAGACACTGCCACCCACCACTAGCTGAACAAATCAAGCAGCAACACTGGGGGAGTCTCGACTAATGCCCAGAAGACCCTCATACTAGTGCCAACTCCCACACAGCACCAAGGGGGGGGGGGGGG